TATATACGTATTTTGGAAATGTTGAGTCGGATTAGTCTAGAATCGATTAATTTTATGGAAGAAAATCTTTCAAACAGCCATAGTCCGTAAACTTGATACGTGTCGGGTTGTGATTGGAAGGATTCGTAAGAAATTGGATTCCTAAAGAATGGAACGTATCTCTATCTTATAGGGGGTCGACTGTATTCCAAACAAATATTTCTATTCAATTAAATTTTTTTAATTGAAAATATATTACTCTCAGAAACCAAAATGAGTTAAATTTCTGGTTACAGTCATTTTTGACAGTACTCTAATTTATCCCACTATGTATTATTAAACATTCTTTAGATTTTTAAATAGCAACAACACAATAAAATTTCAAATAAAAAGAAGAAATACCGTGATAATGTTTCAGCAGAAAGATCACTATCATTTGTTGTTTTTGTTTCACCTAAAAATAAAATGAATAATAAATTGTAAATGAAAACAGAATATAAATCCTAGAATTTTTCTGATAATTATTAAATATTTTATTCTTACTTCGACTAAGAATTAAAACTCAAACTTAAAAAAAAATTTCATTTTATTTAAAGTTAGTATTTGCAAAAATTTTTGTAGTTATCTGCAGTATCAATTCTTACATTAAAGATAAAAAATATTTTTATATATCAGATAAATGTAGATAAATTAAATTCTTGAATTTCTTTTTAATATTTTGCACAATTGAAAGTTAATGCAACAATTAAATTCCACTTTCAACTTGCCATATGGAATCTAATCTTAATCATAATATACTATCAATGAATCATAAATCGTCTTTATATGATTTCCAATTATTCTTGAAATATCGAAAGTATTTGAACATTGAATAATTTTATATCATACAGAAAATTTGAATTCAGTATTTCACATTATGACAAATCATGAAAAATTTATTTTACTATAATCAAATAAAGTGTCACATTTTACTGATTGACTAAATAATAAAATGAATCAAAAATCATTCACAATTCTTGTAGATCAATTACATTAATAAGATAAATAGTGATATTTATTTGCTTTATGAAATTTGTAGTTCATAAATTTCTCCTCTCTTAAAGTATAAGAGCAGAGAAATAGTCTACACTCAAAATATAAATAAATGAAAATTTATAATATACTTAATTTTTATTATTTTCATTTAAAAATTAGTTTATTTCTTTAATATTTATGAAAAATTTTATATCAAATCTAACATAATATACTGTATATAAAGACAAATAATTGTTGTGTGTGTTGAAGTATTATAGTATTATTTTATGTAAAAACAAATCTATTTTATTTTTAAAACACAAAAATGAAAAAACATTGAAATTACCATGTCCTCGTAGATCAATAGCTGCAATTTGACATTCCACCAGATGAGAAATGTTTGACTGAAAGATATTACTATTAGGATTAATCCTAATTAAGTGATAACTACTAAGTGATATGAATTTCTTTTGATATTATTATTCATATAATTTATTTATTTATTAATAACTACACATTTCAAAGTTGAGTTATAGTTTAATAATTAACTATACATTTTACTCATTCAAATGTTTTTTAAATATTGAATTAATTTCAGGGATAATTCTAAAATATTAAAATTTTCAACAATAATTTATATAACTATCAAATTAATCAAATGGTGATTTGAATTTTTTTGGTCATTACATTTAATAATTGAAGATTCAAATTTATTTATTGCCATTTCAAAAGCTCAGTTATCCAACTTGTAATGCTTAGTATTAAGCTAAAAACTGAAATAGGAAATATAAGATAATTATAATAATAATACAGTTTTTATATATGAAAAATATTTCAGTTTTTTGCATTCTTACATATTCATTATTCATCTACAGTTTGTACTTAAAAAATGTACTTATATATAGATATCCCTTGTACAACATGGTTTCACTCTAACAAGGTTCAAAAATTGGGGACCTCCCTGTGCAACACAGTTTCTGGTTTCACTCTAACATGGGTTGATAATTTAGGAAATTCTCCATACAAAATTTCATAACTTTTAAGTGCAACTCCTTTTATTCTATATTTTTTTTATCTCAAATTTGCCCATGGATTTTAAAATATTAAAATCTTCAATTTGTTTTGTGCCTTTTGTTGTGTTTATTAAAACTGATAGTGCAACTTTTTTCTTCTTTGTTGTTACTTTCAGATTTTAGCCTTTAAGACTGTCACTGTGTTTTGTTTTTATAAATTCATCTTTGTATTTAGTAAATTTTATTTAAATATTTTTAGGTAAGTGTTAACCTTTTTTAACTGTAAGTAATACAGTGGTAATACATAAAAATACAGTGGTATCTCAGTACTGAAACTATTCCCAACTCAAACAATTCAGTATTCAACACAAATTTTTTGGGGGGGAAAATCACAAAGTTGGGAAAATTACACAAAATTTCCTAGGAACAAATTTTAAAAGTGTCCTCTTTCCTTCTAGTCCCCACTTTTAAAGTTCGTCCCTAAGAAATTTTATGTAATTTTTCCAAGTTTATACTTATTATCCTGACAATTTAAAAAAAAAATCACTTGTCCTCGACTGAACAAGTGCAACCCACTAGAATAAATTTTCTATTACAGTAGAGCATCAATTATCCTAAACAATTCGGGACTGGGGTTAGGATAACCGATTATGTACAAAAAAATATATTAACCTATCCCATGTTGAAATTCGTTCAAATTCTGGTGCATCAATTCTGATGTACCCTTTCATGGTTGTGCCAGTGCTGCCAGCTAAAACACACACACCAACAAAAATAATATTGGAGTAGCCCAAGACAGCCAAATATTGCAGCATCACAGCACTAGCGAAAATTTAAATTTGCCGACTGGAATGCTTTCGGTTAACCGATGTTTCGGATGATTGATATTTGGATAATCGATACTCTACTGTAATAACATTTTTATTTTGTCATACATAAAAAATTTTTTATGGTAAAAAGAAAAAAATAGAAGACATTGCTGATATTTCTGATCAAGATCAACAAAAATGCTCTGATGATGATGTAAAAAGAAAACTCCCTCATTTAACTAAAATTAATATTAACACATAATACAGTACTTTTAATTGTGATTGTTAGTTAATTATTAATTGGAAATAAATTATTAAGTGCTTTAATAAACATATTTCTCTTAGTAACAAAAAGAATAGTATATTTTTGTTAACTTTTAGAACCTAACCCCATGTTTTGTATTAGTCCTTTGTTTCATATAGCACAGATTCACATAACACTGCACTTTTTCAGAACATAAGTACCATGTTATATGAGATATACCTGTAAATAAATAAACAGCTATATACTTAAAAAGATATAAGTTACTACAGTAGAGCATTGATTATCCGAAACAATTGGAAACTGGAATTGTTCGGAAAATCGATTTTTCAGATAACCGATTATGTACAAAAATATATTAACCGATCCCATTTTGAAATTCGTTCAAATCCTGGCATGTCCTTAAGTATCCTCTCATGGTTGTGCCAGTGCTTCCAGCTAAAACATGCACAACAACAAAAATAATATTAGAGTAGCCCAAGACATAGCCAAATATTGCAGCGCCACAGCACTAATGAAAATTTAAATTTGCTGACTGGAATGCTTTCAGTTAACTGACATTTTGGTTGATTGGTATTTAGATAATCGATGCTCTACTGTATTTTAAAAATGAATTTCGTAGTCATTTATTTGGTATTAATAAATAAAATGTAATTATAAATAAATTTTAAAGTATGGTCATAAATATGGAAAAATACTTTTGCATTATCTATGAATTGCATATTAACTACCACACTTTTAAAAAGTTAATATCAAACTTACACACTCAGTAACTGTATTCTTACATTAAATAATGATAAACATTTTCAAAAATATAAATTAAAATTTGTTGTGATTAATGAAATGTATTTTTATGTTACTAACTTTAAAATATTAATAAGTTGCATTTTCTACAACTCTCATCATTCATGCTGGTATGTCATAACTATATAAGTGAACTAATACTAACATTGATTTCTGCATTTTATTTAATCAGAGATTTATAATTGACATAATTTGCAACTACCTAAATAAATAAATTAAAAAGTTTTAATACTTGACACAATAAATATTACATAGTAATAAAAAGAAAGCACATGAATATATCTAACAAGCTTGAGAATTGTCATTTAAGTAGTTTTGTTTTAGTATCCTTTTTATTTATTAATTATTGATAAAATTAGTGTGTTAATCTATCATTTCATATGATTTCTATTCAAGATATTATCTTCTTTAAATATTTATATGTGGATTGTCCTTATTGTAAAGAGCATTTTCTTAAAAGACTGTTTTAAATTATTAATTATTGATTGCAATGGCATAGTTTCATATCTGATTCAAAGTTTTAACTAAATACAGTAGAGCCTCGAAAACTCAGCCTAATGTGGACCGAAGGGTGGCCGAGTTTGTGAAAATGCCGGGTTATCGGGAATTGCGTTAAAAAAATAAGTACGAGTGTGGAGTCCTCAGAAAATACTGTACTATACTTGTATGTATTGTGTGCTTGAGAATACAACAAAGAATAAACTGCTCAAATATCCTTAAACAAAGGAAAAGTACGTCTTTTATGAAGGCATAGAGCCTTTACTACATGAAAATAAAAATTAATGAATACACTGTACAGTAATTTACCTGATAAGACAGACCTTAGAAAAATACTTATGGGGCATAAAGCTGTCTTTATCATGAAAATTAATTACTAAGGATATTTTGCCCTGCCAGGGTGTGGCCGAGTTATCCGGAGTGCCGGGTTATCGAGTGCCGAGTTTTCGAGGCTCTACTGTATTGTGAGTAACTTCTGCTTATGTTTTTCTAATTCAGTATTTAATATGACTTCTGCTTATGTTTTATATTGTAGCATATCTGCCAACCAGCAGCGTTTTGAATTCTCTATCAGTGCACAGGCCACTTTTCCCTTTCTTCAGTGTTTTTAAAGAATTTATCACATAAACACTTTATTTAACAAGTCTAATACCACTATATTTGCTGAAGACACTGTATGTATTTTATTATGAATGACTAAAGTGAACCAGAAAGACATTCTCAGATTTGTTCAATTGGGAAAAAACCAAGATTGATATTTTTATATATGTATGTTGGTATACGTATAAAAATTTTAGCTTCAGTTTGATACTTTTAAATGGTAGATATGATAAATTACATCTTCAAGTCTGGCAACATTAGTACCATCATGTTGGTTGTTAAATCGATCATAGCAGACTCATCAGCAGATGATGTTACTTTTACAATTAGACCAAATTATTGAGCAGCACTACAATTTTTCCACCCAAAATGAAGAAACAGCTGATTCATCACTTAAGAGTATACAGGCCATATGGTATGAACTTTCTCAAGAAAATAAACTACATGATTTTTTGAAATTTGTGAAATTTTACAAAGATTTGTAAATTTGTAAAATAGTAAAGCTGATGATGGTTTTGCCACACAGCATTTCAAAGCCTCCCCTGCATTGCTGTGTATCAAAAGGAAAAGATATTCAGTATAATAAGAAAAAGTACAACAGGGATAGGAAATAAATCACAACCAGAAAACTCATTGCCTTAATAATTGTAGTGAAAGTCAGTAAACCAACTGATATCAACTGTCACGAGTACACTGAAAAAAAAAGAAATTATAATAAAGCAAAACATTGCACAAAGGCATAAACAGGAAACACTCAACATGTAACATCAAGATGGAACACCCAATAAATCTATGTGTCCTGTAAAATACTTGACCTTTTTTAAATTATGATGTTAAAGAGTATAAAGCTATTGGCATACTCTTGACAGTATTTATGACAATAGCTTTACATGATATCATATGCAGAGATAAAATTAAATTTTGTTTATTAAAGGTATTTTATATAAACAATATGCAATTATCAGTATTAATAAAAATTTTTCACTTTTTATGCTGTCAGTGTTTTTATTCAAAAAACAGTGTTTTTCTACCAACATCCCAGCTATTCTAAAGGTTGGCAAGTATGATTGTAGTAAACTGGTACATTAATTATAAAATAATACTAATTTCTTCATCCATTCATTTTTAAGTTCTTTAGCATAATTATAAACTTTTGATTTGACAATAAATATATTTAAACCTGTACTTATAATAATAAATAAAACAATGTTACATTATTTCAAATGAATCTGTAAAACTTACAGTAAACAATGACCAAGTTAATCCACTATAACCACCTCCATGCAACAGTAATAAAAGTGGACCAGATTCTCCATTACAATATACCCTGAAAATCTAGTCAAAGTTAAGAATATTTATATATTTTAAATATAAAAACTTAATTTTAGTTATAACAACAGTATCTAATTATTTAATAATAATATATTTAAAAAATTAAAGTAATGAATCTAAAAATTATCATTTAAATCATTACATATAATTTTCAAATGCAATGTAAATATCAATATTATATATCAGATTTATACAGGTAATAGAATTGATAAAGATTTGACTTTTTAACAAGAATGAAATATTCCAATTAGCACTGTTAGCTTTATGAATGCTATTATTTAACACTCAACAAAACTTCTCCAACTTATTTTCAAATTAAATAGATTCTTTATTGGAGTACATACAATCTTTAACTATACCACAATAAACTCAAACACTTTCAGGCTAAGCAAATGTTCATTCCCTGGCATTTCTAAATAGAATTTTTTTGTAAACCTTTATTCTTAAAATATGATTTCCAAAACTTAGAATGTTTGTTTCTTAAATTTGCAATCATCCAGTTCTAAGTGAACATATATCAATAAGAAAATTACAGCTTAAATCACGTTTGAAGATCAATTCTCACATTGGAGAGATGGTTTCTAATTATATAGTCATCTGGACAACAAACTAAAAGGTGTAATCTGAACATATATCAGAAAGAGATTTTTTAATTTACTGATAAAATTAAAAAGTTTATTTTAAGTAACTTTTAATTAATGAAAACAATATATATCTGTAATCACCACTTAATAAATGACAATTTATCAAAATATACAAAAATGTATTTTACTGTTAAATGAATTTTTAGTCATATTAATAAAAAATGTATACGTATTGCAATATAAAAATTTAAATATTTCATGTATTTATAAAGTATATATTAACTTTCATTACATTTAATATTTAAAATAAACTGTATAAATTAATTATATAAATAACTAAATATAAACATTAAAATCATATATATTTTTAAATTTGCTTTTAAGGATACATTACTTTCAGTAACTTTAACTTCTTTCATAGAAGTGAAATATTTTTTCCATGAAAGAGGAGAATAATCTCTCTTCATACCTCTTCTTCCTGCTCTATATGAAACAAAAAATATTAAAAAATTAATTAAACAACTAAAGAGAACATTTTTTTCTCTTTAATTCTATAAAAATATATTTTCAAATACTTTCAAAAATTCAAAAACTTTATAAAGGTAAATTTTACAAACTTTTATAACAGTTCTCTGTAAAATTCAAAATTACAGTACAGTATCTGAAATGCAGTTAATCTAAATACCTCATAAAAATTATGTATTTTAAAAAATTTAATCCTAGCTTTAAGGATTGATTGTTTTGTGCACACACAGTTTTACAAGATCTGAATCATGAACATTATACTGTTATGAAAAAATATTTACCCATTGGTAAACAAATAAAATAATAATAATAAATTTTATATGAAACATTAATGTAAATATTATATTAAACTTGTGGAATAAAATTCTAAATCATTTACAAGTGTAATAATACACAAATTTAAAATACAAATTAAATGTTAAAATGCTCATTTGACTATATATTATTTTTTTGTCTTCCAAATATAAGATTGTTATAGCCAATAAAGGATAGTTACATCTTTATATTGTACCATCTGATATATTGCTCATTTGGTTTGTCTCCCTACATGTGTGATATAATATTTATATACTACTGTAATATAAATATTTAAAACATCATAATTTGTGTGATTAATGAAACACAAATTTTTAATTTAACAATTCAACAATTAAAATTTTCTCATTATAATACACTATAATAAATGAAAAGAAAAGATTTCTATATTAATCACATCAAATTTACATACAGTATGCTTACAATCATAATTTTCAATGGATATATTTTGTCAGCCTAATAGTGTAACAGTATAATTTGATCACAGGAAATATTTTAGGAACATTCTCCTCCTTCCACTAAATCATTTCAAAAAGAATTAATTATGAAAATAACATTTAAATGTTAAGAGATATCACAACTAGTATACAAGTTTTGTAGTACAGTAGTAAAAAAATATATTTAATCAGAAGTGTATAATTAAAAAAAAAAATGTTTTCACTTTAAGCACTCAACATCTTTAGAAAAATAAAAATTTATGTACATATCCTTAATGATGACTGCTTAAAGAAGCTAAAACTTTTACAAAAATTAAAAACTTAATTCACCAGCAGTTCATAGTAATCAAAAACATACTAAAACATTTTTTTTAATTATTATTTAACAGTATTCATTAATTATAATATTTTAACATAATAAGTTATATCATTTCTAGTATGAAAGAGAAACAATTGATATCCTATCTATTAAAAGTATTTCATTTTCTCTTCTTACCATTTTCAAATGGTCATTTGACTAGTTTCTCCAAGTTTCAGCCACTCTCTCAAATAATTCTCATTTTTTCTGAACAATCTTCTTATCTAGTTCTCCTAATAGAATGACTCTAGTTTCTTCAATCTTTTTTAATCTATTCTTAATGTTATCTGTATATGTTATCATTTTGTTTTTTTTTCTTTTACTAAAAACAATGATGATATATACTCCTCTTATTATTCCTCAGAATAATAAGGGCTGGAATCTTTATTTTTCCCATTCTTTATAATCTAGTAAATATCTTGATTTCTCATATCAATATTTTTGATAATAGTTTTACATTCATTTTTTCAAAAAATTTTATTATAGGCCTAATCAAAACAACAAACTAGTTTTGCTCAGTCTCTACTTTCTTGGATTTTTTGTTCTCTGTAAATTTGTCATTAGACATTCGTATTTTGTTTTTAAATCTTAAAAGCTATTAATATTTTCTAAAGCCAATTTTTTTTCCCCAGTATTTGGTGCTCAGATTAAATTTTAAAAATATTTCTCTATAATTTTCAGTTTTTATAAATGCCTATGTTGACTAAACTTAAGAATGTTTCAGGTGCAATTGCTTTAATAAGTGCAGAAGAATCAAGTTTGAAATTTGTTAAGTAGATAACACATATCTAGTAATATTGAATTTCTTTGATCTTTGACTTACATTTTTTCGATTTGCTTCAAAACTACTGGTTTCTAAATTAAAAAGTATTTTTTTTTTGACAATTGAATTATTAATTTTTTATTAAATTTAGTAAAATTATATGTACAATTTACTATTTTACCAAATACATACCTTAAAAATTAATTTTATATGTTAAAAAATGAAATTAATTATTTATCTTTAAATTAGTAATAATTTAATTTAAACTATTTTACAAACTAACAATGACAAAAATGTTTTGATCAAAGTTTTGCAGAATGGTAGCTACCAGAAATGATTATAAATCATCATTCAAATCATAGCTAGAGAAATTTATTAGATAATTAATTAAGATAGCAAGAAACTCATTAGAATAGAGAATAAATGGGTTTCTATCCATATAAATTTTGCTACTAAATCCCAGTTTGCCATAAAATTATTAAAAGGAATTCATTCCACCAACTTTGTGCTAAGAAAAGTCCTTGACAAGTATGTTTGTGCTCAAGTAAATAGGCTTTTGAAAATAATACAATTTGAAGCTTAATTTAAAAATTTATAAATATTGTATTTATACTTTTCCAAATTGGTTATTTTACTGAGTGACAATACACTTATATTGTTTGCAATACAGATAATTGTTTGATTACTTTCTATTTGTACTGAAGATGACTAACAAAAAAGTTAGTGTTTGCTTGTTCAAGTTTGTTGTGTTTATTTAAACTTTAATAATGAAATTTCAGCTTTTATTATTTATGTAAAATAGCATGTAGATATTAATATGTACACAATAATATAATAATTTGATTTAATTATTATATACTCATCAAATACATAATATAAATATCCATGATAACCAAAATATCATTATTAAATTTAAGTTAAATAAGGTAATATTTAATTCATGTTTGATATCTCTTCTTAAAAATGTCACCAAGCTGTTTAATATAATTAATAGAAATGTATGTAATTAAAACAAAAACAGACAAAACTGAACAAAATTATGTTCTCTCTATTCATATATCTTTGATTTCAAAAGTAAAAAGTTTTTGACACCGAATCTTTGGAAATTTGTAATACTGTATATTCAAAAATTAATGTATGAATTCTATCTAAAGACTTCAAATATCTAATTTTAATTGGAGGTTTTTATTTTCAAGACAATAAAATAACTATCAAAGTATGATTTTAAAAATGTATAAATATATTTGAACACTAAACATGATACAATCCCATTGATAACCATATACTGTATATTTTTCTGTGAATATCGAGCTCATTCTTTACAATGTAAATATATGGTTTATACATTACAGTTTGAACTTGAAGTATTATCAAAACTTGTTTATTAATTTTATATTCAAATTCATGATTCATTCCAGAGTAAAATGTAATTTTTGCAAGTATATATTTTTTTTTTACATTTTATATATTCATTCTCCCTTTTAAACACTGAAATAAAAAAATTTTATGGAATTTTTAATAGTAATGTTTTATCATGACAATAATTGCTAAATATTTAAAAATAATAATAATAATAATTAAAAAGTTTAAAGAAAAATGCATACAAGTACATAAAAAAAATCATACAGTAAACTATCTTTTGACTGATAAAAAGAAAAAATTTAGAAATGATCTACATGTTCAGTATTTGATTTTACTTAAATTAAAATTCATTAAATTGAACACACATGTTACAGAAAACTTTTATTTTACTAAGCATTAATAATTTATCAACTAACTACTTAAACTATGATCATTTTGAACTTATTACTTATGACAAAAATAGAAGAGAAAACAAATCCTTCCAAGCAAATGTAAACAAGTTATAGAGACACATTTATTATTACAAAAACAAGAAAATGCCTTCTAAAATTTAAATATAAATATCTCAAATTTCTCCAATTATGATAATTTTTTTTAAATATATTCTGCTGTAGCAATACCAATTTGTATTTTCATTTATTGCTTATATTATTAATATAATAACTTACTTTTTCATATAACTCATAATAAAATATTTATATGATACAGAAATAATAATATTTCATTAAATAAATCAAGATTATTTTTTAAGGACATTTTGTATATGATAATTTTTAATAAATTTATTAGAATGCTTGAACAATTCTTATACAAATATGTTCAACCACACAATTTTGACATTCTAAAAACTAATCTGTACCACAAATATATCTGACAAATTGATTAAACAAAATAATTTTATCTACTAATAAAACTAAGGAAAAACTTAATGGAAACTTTATACATAAATATTGAATCACACTAATGATGAATGCATAAATTATCAACCATATTATATTGAAGATGAAGACAGATTTATAGAAGACTCGCTTCCTTAATACATTTAATAATGTTTTCAAAATTAAAGAACAATATTTAAAAATTTTCATTTTATAAATGTATAATAATTTTAATTAATATCAGTTACCAATACTTCAAATATAATATAATTAAAACAACAATATTGAAAAATGTATATTCATTATTATTTTAAATTAATTGTTTGAAACATTAAAGACTTAAATAGTTAAAAAAAATATGTAATCAAATACTAAATTATAAAAATAAATATCAAACCATTAATATGTATGAAATAATACTTAAAAATGATAAAAAAATTGCATAAATTAAATAAAACAGACTTTAATGTAACAATTTAAAAAATTAGAAGAATCCATCCAGAAATAAAGTTTTAAGATAGACAATTCCACTCTGTTATAGATATAAATGTAATAAATATTCCAAGGTCAGCTTTATGGAGATTAAACATTGAAAATTTTTCTTGGCTTGTCATTTGAAGATGAAAATATATAAATGAATAATCAGTTTCATTGATTATCCATTTATTTATCATCTCATCTGCACCAAAGAATAAAATTCAAAGGATATATAATTATTTTTTTGTTAATAATACAAGTAAAGCATAATATGTATTCAATAATATAAAATACATATATCAACAATACTTTCTTTCTTCTTTCTTTTAAGTATAAACAAAGTTAATTAAACTAGAGTGCAATTGTTGCCTCTACTATCTGCAACACCTTTGTATCAAAAATACAAAACATTGAAATTATACATAAGCCCTGTATTTTACATTACAAATTCTTGTTGAAAATATAATTTCTATGTAACGTTCTCATCCTTTCATTTGCTACCAGACGACGAAGATACATTGATAATTAGTTTAAACATTTAGAACTTGAAATAGATATAAACTTTGAAGAATATAAAATTCATTTTTTTCATTTAACACGGACGTAATAAACCGTCTTCTCGGATCAACTCTCTTTCTACCACCTGTAACTGGATTACGAGAATAAATCTGGAGTCAGTCATACTGAGATTTAATATTTGCTCTTTAATACTATATATATTTTGAAAAAAAACTGTTGATAATTTAGTATATTTCCTTCATTTATCAGTATGTTTCATCAACAATGTATAGGAAATTATTTCACTTTCTTAATTTATAAATATAAGATCAACTTGAAGTTTAAAGAGCATTAATAAGGCAAAAAATGTGGACAATGTGTAAGTGTATGAAGAAGGATTTAATGTGGAACAAAAACCAAGATTTTTTGATGTAAACAAAGACTCAAAACATGATTAAAATGATAAATCACCTTACAATTTGATAATAATAGACATATATTTATGAACAATTTAGAATAAATTGAATATTTTCAGTGTTAAGTAGTAAAAAATCAAATCAGCAAGACACAATGAGTTGTCGTTTATAAACTGTTATCACATTATATTACCTGGGATTTCCGTTTAACGAAATTGGAGGTATTGGTGGTAATCGTCCTCTAGTAATTTGTTTATGCAGAGAAGACATATCGTAGACTGTCTTCCGTTCAGATATTCAGATATCGTGGTATATTCCGAATAGAGTACACTTCGGGATGACGTAAACTACTCGGGTATGTTCGGAAATGCTCGGAATGATTGAACAAATTAGCGACAGATGGAGCTCTAGTCTCTATTGTTTTCCAAGTTTTCGTAAAGAACAAAAATGAATTTTTTTTCCCCCGTTTTTAATGAAGCAGAATTATTCGTTTATTTAATTAATAATTGTTTTTAAATGCTTTAATTAAATTAATTTAGTATAATTTAAATAAATAAACATTTTTTCTTTTTTTTAAATTAAAGTTAACATGAAATTTCTATCAAACTCTATAAAAAGAATTTTAAATTTAAGAAATTAAATTTTAATAAATCTAAATAAAAAAAAATAATGTTAAATATTAATTATCTGTTTAAGTTGTTTTAAATGTATAGAATATTATTATTTATTAATTTCTTTACATTTTTTAAAATAAATTTATATGTATTATCAGGACGTTGGAGAGAGGAAAACAGGATTTTTCTCTGGCCCATAAGGGTTTCTACCCCTATAAATTAATGTTATTTTACTACCAAAAAATAAAATCATTAAGACTACTTTTTATTAATAAAGAAATATTTTATGTATTTCATTCGTTCAAAATAACAAATGAAAAAAAGGCCTTTGACAGCTTGTAAGGAGCCCGGGGACTTCCCCAGGCCTCTTACAAGCTCTCGACGGCCCTAGTACTAACAATAATGAGTTAATATTTTTAATTTATGTTCAAAAATTTAAAAAAATTAACTTTAAAATCATAACAAAGTTATATTTATTTTAAAAAATAAAAATAAATTATATTTGTAACCGAGAATTATAATTTATAATTTCTTTAATATAGCACAATTAATTTTTTTTTTACCAAACTCAATAAACATATTAATACTTAAATAATTTAAGAATTAAAATTTAGTAAAAATGGAATTTTCAAGTCTGAAAAATCTATTTTCTTTTTATTGCTTTTTTTTACATATCGCAGTACTTAGCGTTTGGAAGCTTCAAAAACGGCTAAACTGATTTTAGCAGAGCTTTTAAGAGATTTTCTAAACTTGGAAAAGCGTTAAAATTTTGTAAAATTCTTAAAGGATTTCTTAAAGAGTTACATAAAATATAAAATAAATATAATTTGTGATCAGAATTATTACTGCAAAGAGATTAATGTCTTCATTGGGATCAATTTAACTTTAGTTGGCTTATGTAAAAGGACTTACAGAAAGAGATTTATAGCAATTTACTAAAATCAATAACAACAAAAAATAAATAAGCTTATTTTCGGAAGATCCTAAAGTCATTAGAAAAATTTCCTACTTTATTTAGAATAAGCATACCATACAAAAATTAAATACTTAATATTTTATATAACTTATCTAATTTTTAATATATTATTATTTTTTATATTCAAAATGTCATTAAAAATCAAATTAAATATTCTAACTAAAAGTACAAGATTTTTAGAAAATTTAAAATTTTGACAAGTTTATAAAATATCTCTACATTAAAATTATAAATTTCTAAGTATTAAATTTATATTTCCTAGTATATCTTGTTACTTATTAATGATTTATTTGAATATATATATGTATGATAATAAAGATAATAAAGAAAGTGTCATTCTTTTAAATATCATGAAGTAAAACATGTAGCCTTAAAGTAAGCAAAAGAAAAAAACTAACAGTCACAAGAGCAAAAGTCCCTCTCCTACAGGCCTTATTATCTTCCTTATTATCATAGAGCAACATCTTTCAGTACTTTCATTTTTAAAAGAATTATTTACTTTTTTTTTATAATTGAATAATGATAAAGATGATAATCATGAAAAGTAGAAAAAACACTAAACTATTTACTGAAAAAGTTTCATAAAATTGATTTAATAGAAAAGATCTAGAAATTTAATCATAATAAAAATCATATAAATAACAAATAATATTTTAAAAAAATATTATATAGTTATTTAACAAATATACTTAAATTATGTTATTAAATTATTAGCTACTGTTTTGTTTATGAATAAATTTTGTGAAAATCAAAGTTTATTGTTTTAATTAGTATAAAAAATTATATAGATTTAAAAAATTGTTAAAAGTAATTCGTTTTTCTATTGAAATAATTATAATTATTTAAAAAAAGTTTTACTTTTATATATTTTAAATTTATATA